TGGAATGTATAATTAAATGTAAAAAAAAAAAAGGGGGGGGGGGGAGAGAGAAGGGAAATATGATTTTCTCCCTCCCTTCTTTTGCCTCTAGCGTTGCTCCAGATCACTTCCTTGCTTCAGATCAGTAGTGCCTCGTTTACACGTCTTCCCCTGCACAAATTAATAGAAGTTCTGCCTCTTGCCCGCTCAACTTTTTGTCCCTTCCCTCTCGCTCTCCCCCAACTCTGCCTCCGCCAGCCCCCTCGTCTGATTACATCTAGTAATTCTCCACTGAATGAACGTCATTTACAATACGAGGGGAGCTCTCGAGCTGCCTGCAAAGCCTTCACGCTCCATTTGGTCTTGCATTCTCCCTTTAAAGTAGTCGTGTAATATTAATAGTCATGAATATCAATTATTATGAGGCGGCGTAGGGAAGGGAAAGGAGAAGGGGGCACTGGAGCAGTCTGAAGCTTGCCTTGGGTTGAAGAGGATTGCATTTGGAAGCGCAACGGGCGGGGAGGGGGGGAACAACACGAGGACGCTTCTCGTAGACCATAGACTCTCTCTGTACATATTTTCCTCCAAATTTTGGTTTTGATGGATAGACTCGGAAATACCTCCAGCTGTTCTCCTGGGTGCACCAAGGTCCTTTGCAGATTTTCTTGATACAGCCCCTCTCCTTGTTACTAGTATTATTAGTATTAATTTATTAGTAGTAGTATTGTTCTACTGCTATTTTATTTTTACCTGTTTCAAGATTTTTTTAAACAAATTTCCAGATGTTAGTCCACACCTACTCCGCTATGGTGAGTTGGGTCCGTGCTGTGATTTAAAATTGCCCTATTCTCTTTGCCTCTTATTCCCCTGTCTCTACACCCTCTCTCTCTCTCTCTCTCTGCCCCTCTCCCTCTCTCTCTCTCTCTCTCTGAACGCCTTTGGCTTGGTAATTTAGCACAATAATTGGAAGAAGCTTGCAGCTGCTTCTCCATTTTGCATTGTGCACTCTTCGTTTGAACTGGGAATGGGGGGGGGATCAGTGAGGGGAAACTTTTTCGGGGGAGGAAAGAGATACTGTTGTTAAGGAAAGGAGCTACATTTTCTGGTGTAGATGGGGGGGGGGGCTAAAATTTCAGCTTTGCTTCAGATCTAGTATATATCCATGTTATAAGAATATTCATTGACATTTTAATTATTTTTCAGGTGGTGAAAGATAATTGTTTATATATATCTTTACATGATCATTTAAATTTTTTCTATCAGAGACAAATGTGATTTCTGGGGGGGAAAGACCAAGACCAATAAATTCATTTTGGACCAGAAGCAGGCTCATTTGTCTAGTTCATGCATCACTTTATTTTTCCTTTTGGTGTTGCGTTTCTTTGAGAAATATCATTCTGGTTAATGCTGTCTGTATATCTTCTTTTCCTGCCCTTGGAATGATAGCCTTCCAGGTCAGATGCCCTGCCATCCAAAACCTGAGTGGATGGCTCCTTTGTTGGTTTCTTCTAATGCTTTAAAGCTTTTTCTGAAGCAATCGATGGTTCTGTAGGCTCACATTTGTTCATATGCTGTCAGTTTGGTCTGGCAGCATTATACGGCTGCTGTTGTTGTTATTGCCATCATCATCATCATCATCATCATCATCATCATCCTTGGTGGCACAATTAAAGCTTTTTGGTGAACTTTTAAAAAATCAGCCATTTTATCCTCATCTTCATCATCATCCCACATGAGCTTTGGGCTTTAGCACTGCTGTTCTTCCCCTTTAGATCTGTTATAATTATAACTGAATGTATGGGGAGAAGATAAGAAGCAAACGGTTATGAATCCCAGGGAAACATTCGCACTAGCTTGAATGGTGGCACATGGCGACCGACCATCGCTACCACCACTACCACTACCACTACCACCACCACCACCATTGCACCGGGAAGAATAGAGGCACTTCAGGGTGATTTTTTACAGTACGGAACAGCTTTTTAAAACGCCTTTCTCTTTCTCTCTGCTTCTTTTGTCTGTATCTCTTT